TTTAAGTTAAAAAAAAAAGTCAAAGTGTAAAAAAATTAAAAATAAAAATAGGAGAAATAAATGAATGGTATTTATTGCATTTTTAGCTGCGCTGGTTTTGTAAAAAATACTACAAATCAAAACTGGGGAAAAAAAAGTGTTTTTTTTTGCATTTTTTTCTTCTTTTTTTTTATATTTTATTTGTCCTAAGTGAGGCGATAGACACACGTATGTGATATAAATATGTCGCCCTATCTGTCCTCTAACATACAATATATCACATGTGCGGGTGCACTTTGTAAGAAAGTATATCCCCGACGTGGAAGAATCGCACAGCAACAATGTAACAAGTGTGTCCGTCATTTACCAACAGAAACTAAAAACTCGCTCGGTCATGAAGGGGTTAATAAATCTGCATACTTGTGGCACTCTCATACATTACCGGACCTCAAGGTTCCGTAGAAGCTCGCCGCATACACTGCGAGTTCACAAAGCGGGTTTTAGGATGGAAGACCTTTATGTAAAACAGTGTGGAGGGAGGAGCTCCCTACAGGTCCAGTCCCTCTTCTTGACTCCTGATCTCCACCAACTCATTTCTATACCTTCTCCTGATCTTCCAAATAAAGCAGCAAAGCCCAGCCTGGACCAGATCCCTGGAAGGACACAGCGGGCAGATCAAAGCCCAGCCTGGACCAGATTCCTGGAAGGACACAGCGGGCAGATCAAAGCCCAGCCTGGACCAGATTCCTGGAAGGACACAGCGGGCAGATCAAAGCCCAGCCTGGACCAGATTCCTGGAAGGACACAGCGGGCAGATCAAAGCCCAGCCTGGACCAGATTCCTGGAAGGACACAGCGGGCAGATCAAAGCCCAGCCTGGACCAGATTCCTGGAAGGACACAGCGGGCAGATCAAAGCCCAGCCTGGACCAGATTCCTGGAAGGACACAGCGGGCAGATCAAAGCCCAGCCTGGACCAGATTCCTGGAAGGACACAGCGGGCAGATCAAAGCCCAGCCTGGACCAGATTCCTGGAAGGACACAGCGGGCAGATCAAAGCCCAGCCTGGACCAGATTCCTGGAAGGACACAGCGGGCAGATCAAAGCCCAGCCTGGACCAGATTCCTGGAAGGACACAGCGGGCAGATCAAAGCCCAGCCTGGACCAGATTCCTGGAAGGACACAGCGGGCAGATCAAAGCCCAGCCTGGACCAGATTCCTGGAAGGACACAGCGGGCAGATCAAAGCCCAGCCTGGACCAGATTCCTGGAAGGACACAGCGGGCAGATCAAAGCCCAGCCTGGACCAGATTCCTGGAAGGACACAGCGGGCAGATCAAAGCCCAGCCTGGACCAGATTCCTGGAAGGACACAGCGGGCAGATCAAAGCCCAGCCTGGACCAGATTCCTGGAAGGACACAGCGGGCAGATCAAAGCCCAGCCTGGACCAGATTCCTGGAAGGACACAGCGGGCAGATCAAAGCCCAGCCTGGACCAGATTCCTGGAAGGACACAGCGGGCAGATCAAAGCCCAGCCTGGACCAGATTCCTGGAAGGACACAGCGGGCAGATCAAAGCCCAGCCTGGACCAGATTCCTGGAAGGACACAGCGGGCAGATCAAAGCCCAGCCTGGACCAGATTCCTGGAAGGACACAGCGGGCAGATCAAAGCCCAGCCTGGACCAGATTCCTGGAAGGACACAGCGGGCAGATCAAAGCCCAGCCTGGACCAGATTCCTGGAAGGACACAGCGGGCAGATCAAAGCCCAGCCTGGACCAGATTCCTGGAAGGACACAGCGGGCAGATCAAAGCCCAGCCTGGACCAGATTCCTGGAAGGACACAGCGGGCAGATCAAAGCCCAGCCTGGACCAGATTCCTGGAAGGACACAGCGGGCAGATCAAAGCCCAGCCTGGACCAGATTCCTGGAAGGACACAGCGGGCAGATCAAAGCCCAGCCTGGACCAGATTCCTGGAAGGACACAGCGGGCAGATCAAAGCCCAGCCTGGACCAGATTCCTGGAAGGACACAGCGGGCAGATCAAAGCCCAGCCTGGACCAGATTCCTGGAAGGACACAGCGGGCAGATCAAAGCCCAGCCTGGACCAGATTCCTGGAAGGACACAGCGGGCAGATCAAAGCCCAGCCTGGACCAGATTCCTGGAAGGACACAGCGGGCAGATCAAAGCCCAGCCTGGACCAGATTCCTGGAAGGACACAGCGGGCAGATCAAAGCCCCGTCCTGGACCAGATCCCTGGAAGGACACAGCAGGAAGATCAAAGCCCAGCCTGGACCAGATTCCTGGAAGGACACAGCGGGCAGATCAAAGCCCCGTCCTGGACCAGATCCCTGGAAGGACACAGCGGGAAGATCAAAGCCCAGCCTGGACCAGATCCCTGGAAGGACACAGCGGGCAGATCACACTTTGTAACTAAATGAGTGAAGTGAGACCCGTTTGGTCACCGTAGGAGTGCGGTGTACGGCGGCGCGATGCTGAACGCCACAGACTAAGAGATTGAGCCTTTATTCTCAGTAAAATATCTTCTATGATCTGTACAAATTTGGGGCTCCTTCACAATAATTAGGATTCAGTTATAGGATAAAACTCTATGATCCCAGCGCCATCAATAGAGGCCCGGTCCATTCCACACAGAACCAGGAACACGCGTCTCCTTCCATCCCATGAGCCCGGCATGATCAGCAACCAAGACCTGGAAGACACAAAGCGAGCCAATAAGAAGAACAGACTCCAGGAGAGAAGAAAACCCCAAAACAGAGAAACCCGCCAATC